ATCACCACTCGCCCGCCCGAGTACTCGATCGGCATGATACGGGACCCCGCGCCACTGCGACACTTGAGTTTGGACAAGGAGTTGCGAGTGGGCGGATGAGATGTTTGCTCGATCGTCGCGACTGTAAGTTTTTCAAAGTAATTCTCTTTTCTGAAACAGATTCGGCCCCCCCACCCGGGAGTATCGATCCACCTTTTCGTATTTCAATGTACAGATAGATGATTCTGCCCCATCGTCCATCGTAAATATGAGCTCGTAGCATCCCAGCTAAGCCGGCATCCGCCCTCCCCGCCATCCTCTGTCAAACACACCATACGGAAAAGTCAGACGTTTCCAAAAATCCCTAGCAAAATATGGGACGAAGTGCACACGCGCGCGTCGTCGCGCGCGCATGCCGGAATCCTTCGAAAACCCCTGTCTCGCACGGATGTCGAGATCGAATGTCCAATGCACATGATAAAAACATGGTTTCGTGACGCAGATTCAAAAAAACATGCGCGCGCTCTCGCCAATTCTTGGTAATACCAAATGTTTTCAACATCTTCATAACACGCTACCAGACAGGCTTCGCGTGCGCGCGTGTCGAAATCGTTCGAACGCCCTTTTGCGCGCGTGTTGGGGTGGCACGATCCGTGTCAAATCATACCATGCGAGCCACTCTGGCGCGTCTGCCGCGCGCGCATGTCGAACTCGTTCCAAAATCTTCATCACCGACGCGATGACGCCGTCATCGTCGTCAGCGTTATCAGCATCGGCGCCGTCACTGGCTGCCCTGTCGTCGGTGTTAGCATCGACACCATCGCTAATATCATCACCGTGTCTACCGCTGTCGACGTTGCCATGATACCGCGACCGCCCAAATCGCCGACTCGCACTGAAGTGCCCGCTTGGATGTGCCGAGCGGTCAGCGCTACCGCGTTCGCGTCGGTCGCGCCGAACTAGCTGGTCGCTGCGCGCGCGAACATGCACGGGACAGTGCGGCCGCAGAGATGCACCAGCCAACACCAAGCACTCATCGCAATCGCTTCCGCATGGGTTTTGCAAACCAAGTTGCTGGTGGGTGGGATGATTGCGCGAGCAGAGGCGTCGACAACTTCAAGTTCGGCAAGATGAACTTTACCACATAGATTACACCACAGACTTACGAAGGCCAAACTGTGTTCTTCGTGATACCCTGGTGCCGGTGCATTTCGTGGGCAAGGGCGCGATGAACATGTCGATCGCTCCTGTGGCCCATATTCCTTCTGTTATGGGTGGATGTGCGGGAGTTGGCGGGGCCCGCTATGTCGTTCGAGCCATCTCAACTTATAGGTAGAGCGGCGAACGTGGGCGGGACTCGTTGCGACGCCGGAACAGATATTTGCTGTGGGAGGAGCCGCGGAGTTGACTGGGGCAGCTGCGGCGCTCGAGCAACTCAATGTCACGCGGGGAACTGCAGAGGTGGACGGGGTCAGCTGTGGGGCTCGAGCTGCCAACGTTGACGCCAGCTCGTCGCTATGCTCGTCGTCGTTTTTCCCTCGCTATCGTATCCATCGTTTCACGCGCACTTATGGATGACTGCTCTTATTCCTTTTCTTCTTCCTCATCCTTCCCCTTTCCGTTCCCCTTCCTCGTTACCATTTTGGTACTCTTCCTCCGTATCCCGCTCATCCTTGTCCTCTTCGTCACCCTCCTGTCCCGCGTCTTCTTCATCCTGTGCCCCCCCGCGTCTGTGTGTGCGTGTGCCTGTTTTCCTCGCGCATCGCTCCTGCTTTGCGCGTGGTATTTGTCAAGGTTGGGGGAACACCTCCCCCGTACCCCCCTCCCCCGTAGAATCACCTAGTCAGCAGGTCCAAGGCTGCGAGGCTCCAATTACTGTTGGGTCCCTGATGCTCTGAATATTCTGTCCTGGAGAAGGCTTGGATCCACAAGGCTTCAACGTCACCAATTGGAGGCACACGGTCGACAAGTTGGATCCATATGACCCTCGCACACACATGTAGTGGGAACCGATTGGGTTCATATGTTTTAACTCAAGAGGAACAGCTTTCGGCCTGGGCCGCTATCTTGCACCCCATATCTTGCGCGACGTAAGTTGCACTACTTGGAGTGCGACATGTAGATTGCACCACCTGGTTTCTGCACCACAGAAATTGTACCACATAGCTCGACCCACACAGACTGCGCCCCCCTGGCTTGCACCCCATACCTTGCATTGCACCAACGAACCTGCACCTTCGTACGTCACACCACATAGACTACCCCCCCCTGGCTTGCACTCCAGACCTTGTCCCACAAACGTCAGATCCCATATTCTGCTTTGCACCGGTTTGCTCTCGATTTCGGCTGGCTCGGTCCGATTCGATTCCGTGTCCGTGCCGAGACGGCCCGATGCCTTGCACCTTCCGCTGTGTCGAGTCGGTGCTGGCCGCAGCGGGGCAGGTGTGCGGGCACGTGGCCCCCCAGACATCCGCCGCCTCGCAGGGATCGAGGCGGCTGGCCTGTCGTTGTGCTGAGGCATCGTAGAGCGCACATCGAGAGCAGTACGTTCGGACCTGGGCCAGAGGAGCATCATTCGAGAACAGGAGACCCTCCGCCGGTCACAACACACATCCGGGGGGCACCCTCCCCGGGATGCACAGGAACACTCCACAAACACGAAGAACATCGGGGTGCCCTCCCCGAACCGACCTCGATCTTCTCACTCGGTCCGACTGTGGCCCGCTGTGCGGGGGTCCACGCTCGGTGACCCTGGGCTGCCCGACGAGCAGCCGGGGACTGCGACGCAGCCTGCACGGTCGGAGGGCGGTCTTCCATGCCAGCGTGGGCCCGTCGGGGCTGGAGGATCCGTCGGGCTCTTTGTGTGGCCGCACATCCGAGATCGGCGCCGCAGCTTTGCGGGAGGAGGGTGGCTCCTTTTCGGGACGAGGCTCTCGCTGGACACGGACACGTCCCCCAAAATATGCGACTCCTGCCCCCTTTTCAAAGAGGGGGGCTCTCGCTTGAATGGCAAGTCCATGGGGCGCTTGCCTTTCAGGGGCCGCTTCCTGACATGGGGCCACCTGGAATAGAGACGCATCGGAAAGGGACTCGGGACTGGATGGTGTATTGCAACACCGTTGGCGCATCCTGGGTTTAGCTCTATCCTCGTCACCCGCCTGCTCCTCCTCCTCCTCGTCCGTCTCCACCCTCCTCCTTATAAGTTTCATTATCATGCCTCCGCGTCCGCTTGCCCCTCTCGTCACGCACGCATGCGCAGCCTTCGCGCAGCGTCAATACCTGAAAATCAGCGTGAGCTATGCCATGATAGAAACATAGCCTGGCGAAAGACCTAAACATATGCAGGTGTAAGTGCCGCAATTGTGCGTACAACTATCGTCTGTGTGAGGCATGAGCGAAATGGTGGTGGAACCGCTTGCGAACCCTGCCACTGCAAGCTTCGGTGGAGCTGCCTGCGGGGCCGCGAAACATGTGAAGGTTGTGCCGACATGGGGGTGGAACCGCATGCGAACCCTGTCTCTGGGGCCTTCGGTGGAGCTCCCTACGGGCCACGAAACGCGCAAGGGATGTGCCGAAATTTAGGTGGAACGGCATGCGAATTCTGCCACTCGGGAATTGGGTGACATTGCATATGGGGCCAAGAAAAAGCGTATGGTGGGGTGCGCCGAAATGGGGGTGGAACCGTATGCGAGCCCTGCCACTGGGGCCTTCGGTGGAGCTCCCTATGGGGCCACGAGACGTGTGCGGGCTGTGCCGAAATGGGGGTGGAACCGTATGCAAACCCTGCCACGTGGGCCTGCGGTGGAGCTCCCTATGGGGCCACGAAGCGTGTGAGGGGTGAACGAAAGGGAGTGGAACCGCATGCGAACCCTGCCACTGGGGCTTTCGTTGGAGCTCCCTATGGGGCCACGAAGCGTGTGAGGGGTGAACGAAATGGGGTGGAACCGCATGCGAACCCTGCCACTCGGGCCTTCGTTGGAGCCCCCTGTGGGGCCACGAAACGTGTGAGGAGTGAACGACAATTGGGGGTGGAACCGAATGCGAACCCTGCCACTGGAGCCCCCAGTGGAGCTCCTCATAGGGCTACGAAATTTGTGAGGAGTGTGCCCGAATGGGGGTGGAATCGCATGCGAACCCTGCCACTGTGGCCTTCGGTGGAGCTTCCTACGGGGCCAAGAAGCGTGTGAGGAATGTAACGGATGGGAGGAGCGGGAGGAGGGGGACGAGGAGAGGAGGACAGGAACGCGGGGCGCTGTCCCCACAAAACTAGGACTCAACACCACGGGATGGTTGGAAGAAGGACAGAGAAGAGGGATGAGGGAGGAGAAGGGGAGGAGAAAGAGAGAGGAGGGATGGCGGGGGACAGCAGGGAGGGTAGGAGAGGGGTACGAGGAATAGGGGACAAGAGAAAAAAGAGGGACGAAAGGCGGCGGTCTGTGAGGCTGCCGTGTGAGCGACCAGGACCACACACCAGCCACCAGGATAACCGCCACCCTCTGGAGTGCCAGAAGCAGCGCAGCTGTATGGCTACACACATGCGCAGAAAAAAACAGGGCACGTCGGCTCATGCAAGCATTGCCTGTGATCCCATGGCGCAAGAACGCGTCACGCATTGGTGATGCGAGATGCTGACCTTCTGATGGCGACGATGGTGGCAACGGCGATAGCCTGGCGCCAATAGCCGTACTAGGCCCCGATCTGAAGGAACAACACTTACTGATCCCAATAAACGTTCTATGTGACACGGCCATCGCCCCGATGGTCTCCGTACGCCAATGTCGACCACGAGACATCACATTATTTCAAAGGGTATCGCCAAAGAGGCGGATAATCCCAAGCAGCATCACCGCTCCCCGTCACGGACATCATAGCTCACGTGGCTCCGTTGCACCGCATCAGAGGTCGCCAGGACAGAGCAGGGCTCCTGCTGCCCAAGCTGCCTTTCCGAATAGTCGGAGCCCTTTCTGACCCATCCAGAACACGGCCCGCAGATCCATCTCTCCGGCCAAGGGGGGGCCTTCTCACTGCGGCTCGGAAACCTCGGCTGGCTTCTGCCCCTCCTCGGCCTGGGACGCCTCGGCTTTCCTCTTCTCTTCGCACTTCTCCTCGTACTCGATGGCCTGCGGCAGCACGTAGTAGCGCCACCCCTGGAGCACGATGAGCAACACGACCACGATCAACAGAAGCTTGCACTTCGTGGCAGTTTTGGGGCTCAGACCGCTGGTCAGGGCTTGGTCTGCCTCGTGGAACGCCTTCTCCCAGGACAAGCCGACCGCCGTGGCGATGATGGCGATGAGCGCCCGCACCGAGGCTGGCCGAACCCAACCCCTGCCTGCGACGAAATCGAGCACGACCACGAGCCCGAAACTGACCATCGTGCTCACAAAAGTCACCAACATTATCCCTGATGACAAAGACGGCGTCTCAACCGCCGCGAACCACTGCCACTCACCCGCAAACACGAGCATCCACGCTGCAGCCATGCCTGCCGTGTGCTGCGCGAGAAAGAGCAGGCGCGCCGTGCTCGGGAGGCCACTCGCGTGCGCGAGCTCCTGCAGGGCCGCCAGCACGCAGACGATCATGGAGAACAGCCCGACAAAGCCGAAGAGCATGTCGCACTCCTGCTCTTAGCTGCCCCCAATACGAAAAACGCAACCCGTAGCGTGTTGACACGGAGCTCAACACGCAGATTGAACTTAGCCTGGCAAAGGACCCAACCATACGCAGTTGCGAGCGCCGCAGTTGTGGGTATAGTCTTCGGTGGAGCTCCCTATGGGATCACGAAACGTGTGAGAGACGTGTCTAAATCGGGGTGGAACCACATGCGAACCCTGTCATTGTGGCCTTCGGTGGAGCTCCCTGCGGGGCCACGGAACGTGTGAGGGGTGTGCCGAAATAGGGGTGGAACCACATGCGAACCCTTCCACTGGGGCCTTCGGTGGAGCTCCATGTGGGGCCAAGACAAGTGTGAGGGTTGTGCCGAAATAGGGGTGGAACCACATGCGAACCCTGCCACTGGGGCCTTCGGTGGAGCTCCCTATGGGGACACGAAACGTGTGATGGGTGTGCCGAACTGGTTGACACGCGGATGGCAGAGGCAAGGATGGGAGGAGAGGAGGAAGGAGGAAGGAGGGGGAAGGTGAGGTGAGGTGAGGACGCGTGGCGCTGTCTCTTCAAGACGAGAGCCCAACAACAGGTTGGTCGGGAAAAGTGTGCCTGGCGCGATACGTTCGCGTGAACGTGGGCCAACCCGTGCGTGAGAGACGTGCTGAGCACGGTAGGTGTTGCGTTTCAGCACTTGCGTATCGACGCAACTAAACTCCTGCTGCGAATGCCCCTCTGGTTCGCCGTGCAGCACTGGCATGAATCCCAGGACATAGAACTTCGAGACCTGCGAGATCAGGAAGCCGTTGCAGAAGGAGAACGCGTCCTCCTCGCACTCGTCGATCGCTTTGATCTTCTGTTCTCGGGTATCTTCGCCACTGCCGTGGACCAGATGGTCGGCGACCCACAGCGTGGCCTTGAGGACGAGATAGTATAGGGAAACGCTGGCCACGACTGTTGGGATGACGTGCTCAACAAAAGGCGCCTGCCGCTGCACAGACCCAAAAGTCTCCAGAGCAGCGTAGCCCACGACGTGGCCCCCGAGGACCCCCGCGGCAATCATCGGTTCCTTGCTGTCGGAACGAGCGATGCGCACGAAGACCGCTATGAGCAACGCGAGCCAAAAGAGCGCCCGGACAGCAACGTCCTCCCAGAAAGGCAAGGCTAACATGCTTATCGCCTTGCCCGCCTGGTTGTACAGCGTCACGGCGCAGAATCCGCCCCGTACCCCCTGGTACTGTGAGGCGCGGTAGAGTGCCAAGAGCTGTCTGCGAGGGTTTCTGAGATCTTCTGAAAAGACCCCCCGCCTCGTGGTCGCGCTTCACCGCGTGTGTCCCCCGCCCCCCCCGAGGCTTCCTAGCCAGACGTGGCGCCTCTCCAGAGCTCTCCAAGACTTACAAGAGGGTCCACGAGGGCCAACAGGTCAACGAAGATGGCAGAGCATTGCTTCAAGATGCACCTCAACCAGGAACGCCTAAGAAGTCCCAATAGACCTTCAGCAGGCCGTCAATACACCCCTAACGTGCCCTCGAGGAGACCCTCTTCAGGAGACCCTCGACATGCCTGAAACATTGATCTACAAGCTTTCCAGACAATCTGAGTACACATTGGTCAATTTGTTTGGTTGAGAGCCCCTAGACAGCCCAGGCCCCAAGATAGCCCCAAGCAGGCCCAAGAGGACCCTCGAAGGGCCCCTGGACGGTCTAAGCGTGCTCCTAGGTACGGCCCAAGAAAGCCCAAAGACGGCCCTACGCCAGCCCCCAAAGACCCGACCCGCCAGACGGCCAAGAGAGCCTTAAGACGGCCCAATTGGGCCCCAAGAAGGCCCAAGAGTGCCCCAGAGCACACCCCTCAGGACCCTAAGACGGCCCCACTAGGCCGGATAAGAGCTCTTACGAAGAGGACGCGAAAGATGTCATATGTGACGTCCTTCCCGGTGGTGCTCGAAGAGCCTCCACCTAGAGCGCTTCGCTGGCACGATGGCGGATTCGCTCCACTGCAGCTGTATATCGACAGCGTCTGGGACACCATGCTATATGCAGCCGCGCGGACGTCGTGTTTGGAATGGTTGACCAGAAATAATGCCGACATCAGGATCAGGACGAAGCCAACGAAGCAAGCACCCACAGCGACGTCCAATGAACTGTAAGTGTGGTGGTGTTCTCCGTGTGGCGCACCTGCCCCGTGGTCCGGGTCTTCAGCGCCTGCATGATTGTCGGGGTGCTGGGCCACGGGAAGCGTCCCGTGGTCTGCATCTTCAGCACCTGCATGCTCTTCGGGGTCTACACCACTATCTATGTGAGGGTCGTCAGTGCCCTCGCCGAGATGTGCGTCATCTGCAAATTCAACGTTTGGGTGGGCGTCGCTGTCCTGGCAGGGGGGAGGAGAAGACAAGGAAATGAAGGAAGCCAACGCCTTGCCAGGCAGGTGTCTCCACGAGGGCTCTCATGACGAATGAGCGGTCCTATCCCTTGCCCACCCAAAGCACGCCATCCATCGATTAGTTGGTAATGCAGACTCAATCGCCGCGCCGAAAATGGCACGCGACGCGCCGATGGAAAAGAGACTTCGTTCAGACAACGTGCGCTGCATACCGCGAAGCATGCACATCCGCCGACCGAAGACCCATCCCTTTAAGGCACCCTGGACACAGCGCTGTTCCGACGCCGTTTTCCCACTGTGCAAGCTGTCTGACGACCTAGCGTTCCTGTGGCCTGCTCGGGACCTTAGGTCTCCAGTGCACAACTCTCTCGCAGCTAAGCCAACCGTAGAACGTTGTAATCTGCGACGTAACTATTGGCAGAATGTGTTTAGCTATCGTGCGAGCCCGAAAAATGTCACCTGGCAGCGGATGAAAGTGATGAATTGAGAGTGGTGGTGAGAGGCCATACTGCGTGAGGCTGCCGCATTCGTTGACGTACTGGCACCACTCCTGAGGATCAAGCAACCAAGCACGCCCACACCAACGCGATGCTACATCGTTCTTTCCCGCGGTCAGCTTTAGATTGGGATGCGAAGCGGGCGTGCCGCGTCGTCCATTGCCATGAGGGAACGGTCCTGGGAGAGCCAGGTCCTGTATACCTCGGAGAGGGCACGTGTTCCGGGCGTTCGGGTGTAAAACATCCCTCGGCATCCCGAAAACTCCCTCCCCCCTCCCCCACACATCGCAAACACCCAGCGACCCAGATCCCCCCCCACCCCTTTAAACAGCACCCCGTTTCCCCATAACCCCCCCCCCCTTTGGCGCTGGTCGTCGTCGTCGTCGTCGTCGTCGTCGTCGTCGTCGTCGTCGTCGTCGTCGTCGTCGTCGTCGTTGGCCGCGCCTAGGCAAGGAGGCAAGGGGGAGGGGGGTCATCGTCGTCGTTTGCTGGCGCCAGGGGGGGGGGAAGTCGTCGTAGTCGTTGGTTGTCGTCGTCGTCGTCGGCGGCGGCGGCGTTTGCCGCCGCGGGATGGGGTGGGGGTGTTATCATCTTCCTGGTCGTTTGCCGGCTCAGGGATAATGGGACAAGATGACCAAATTGAGAAAAAATGCCCCCGACGGCCCCGACGACGACGACGACGACGACGACGACGACGACGACGACGACGGCGACGACTACGGGCAGGACATTCAGTTGGGCGCGCGGGCGGGACACCAACTGCAACACTGGCTGGTTGATGGGACAAGGTTGGTTGAATCTGCATAAGTGTCCCGACGTGGCGCCAGCAAACGACGACGACGACCAGCGCCAGGCGGGGGGGTGACACCAGAAAACCAAGAGGGGTGGTTTGACCCCCCCGCCCTTGCGCGAAGGGTATTGTGGGGGGTTTTGGACCCACCCCCTGTTCGGGGCGGGGGGGGAATGTCCCACCGGTTTCTAGGCGTACAACAACGTCAACAACAGCAACAACAACACCAAGATAAACAACAACACCACCACCAGCAACAACAGCAACAACCACAACCACAACAACACCCACAACACCCACAACACCCGCAACAACAACAGCAGCAACAACAACAGCAGCAACATCAACAACAACGAATGAAACCGCCAAGCGACCACAGAACGCGCACTTTCATACGTAGCTCGGGACTCTCCTCAGGATCGGCTATCGATCCCGAGTTGTTTCTTAAAGCCTCGACGAGAAATCTGAGGCCCCGATCCCCTCAGGACGCCCTTCTCCTCACGGCAATGCCCCACAAGGCTCCCCCATCGCCCAAGAGATTTCGACCCCTTCCCCGGAGGCAATCTTCCGCCCCGGATCCATTGTCTGATGCCCCCCGAGGCCACAGTGGAGGAAAAACACGGGGTTGAAGCGAACGAACAAACGCCTGAAGTCTGGGCGGGGGGGCGGGGGCACGCGCCCATGGGCTGCGCTGCCCGAGCACGGCGCCAAACGTCCTGGCCGACGCATTGGAGACTCAATCGGGCGGTCGGCCGGTGGCCGCATCAGGCGACCAGGGCAGCCCGAGCCGACTGCGCCAATCGGGCTCGACCCAGACCTCCGACGATCAGATTTTGTTCAGTCCCGCCGTTTTTCATCGCTTTCGATCTCTGGGGACGGAAACTGCGGGAAATCTGTGCCCCGCGTATTGAACAAATCAAACCAGAGGATGCCTGGGGTCCCATGCTCCGGGGTCCCGAGAACGGCCCTGGGAGGCGAAAGTGAAGGAAGAACGCCAGGATTGAACAGAGCCATCCGCTCGAAACCCAGACCCCCGACGTCATGATTTTTTCATAACGTCGACTCCAGAAGGTCTCGACTCTGGGACCGGCTTTTCGTCCTGAATCGGTTTGTGCCGGTCCCAAGGCCCGAGAAGGCCCTCCAGACACGGAGAATTGCGAAACAACCGACCGCCGTGATTTTTCAATGACTCGAAGGGGTCTGGGAACCTGGGTGGGTGTCTTCGTTTTCTGGGCTTCGACATTTGGAAGAAGGGTGGGGGAGGGTCTGAGTCTGGGGGAAGGGGTCCTGAGAACTCGGAAGCACCGAGCCCAGATATCTTGCGTCTCGGTCTTTGAAGAGGAATAGAGGCCAGAACACCCACTCCCATCATAAGCACCCCGACAAGCGAATCCGTTTAGTAAACGCACCAAGGCAGGAATCGAACAGGGCAGGGCTGTTTAGTAAACGCCCAGGGCTGTTTAGTAAACGCCAACTATCGGGGCCGGGGTGGTCTATCCTCTCTTGAAGGCAGGTCCCTGACCGCGCGACCACTTCCCCGTGACTGATTTTTCATCCCGAATCGTTTTTCTTTGGTCCCGAGGCCCAGAGAGGGCCCCGAGAGGCCGAAAAGGATGAACAACCTCCGTCATGATTTCTGCCGAGACGCCCGATGTCTGGGAATGCGCCCGAAGTCTGCGGAGAGGTCCTTGGTCTCTGCGTCCACCAGCTCCCGGAGGCGATCCCCCGCGGCTTGGAGCACCGCCTGACCCGCGTCTGGGTTTGGACGCCCGAAATGGGTATGGTAATAATGAGCACGATGCCCAACGAGAAGTGTTGTCCAAAACCGACAGCGGCCGCTGCTGGGCAGGCGGCGTCCTTTCTCAAATGGAACTTGCACGGGGCGGCACCGACAGCTAGTCCTGTTCAGTTGTTCTCCATGGGCCACATGCAGTGGTGATGAACAATGCCAGCTGCCCCACTGATGGAAGCGGAGCCCCACCACGGGAAGCACCAGGCAAAGGGGAGAAGGAAGAGGAGCGGGAGGAGAAGAGAGAAAGGACGAACGCGTTGTGTGGGAATCCCGGATGGCTGCGCCAATCGTTCATACAAACGCACAACGGGTGCAACGGAGGAGCACGACGAGGAGGACGACGAAGAGGAAAAGGAGGAGGACGAGGAAGAGAAGGAGGAAGGACAGCAATTGGGAGGACGAAGACAGATCCTGAGAAACACCGGAGGGCGCCAGAAACGGAACAGGAACAGCTGCCTGTCCCTGCCCCCCATTCGTTCCGCACCCACTTCGTTCGTGCCGAGCGGCGGGGGGGGGGCGCGCAGCCGGCGCGCTCCTGGGCACGCCCGCTCCCCTGTGCCCCCCTCCCTGCGCTCCGCCCGGACACCCGAGGTCATGACCGAAGAGGCCCAAGGACACACACACACACAAATAAACAGACACAAGTCCCGGGAGCCCCTATGTGTCTCATATTTTGGGGAGGTGTGTCTTCCCCTCCACTTCCCATTCCATATTTTATAAAGGAAATCGAAGATTATGTGTGTCTGTGTCCGTCCTGACAGACCCCCGAGGTCATGATGCTTTCATGACGTCGACCCCCAGGAGGTCTGGACCCTTTCTCCAGGACTTGTTGTCAACCCGAACCGTTGACGGCCCCGCGTCCCAGCGAGGTCCCCCAGGGGCCGAAAATAACCGAAGACCTTCCGTCGTGATCTTTTTCCCCCACATCCAAAGTGGGGTTCTCATTTTCTCTGGACACCCCGCGCAGGAACAGGAACACCCCTTCCCTTCTCACTCACGCACTCACGCACCCACATCATCATCATAACCATCATCACCGCATCAACATCACTGGCACACTCGCACACACCCTCATTTTCCAATTCATTTACTCACTCACGACCTACTACGCACCCCTCATCATCGTCATCATCAGCATCACAACACCATCGTCAACAAAACTTCGTCTTTGAGTGAATTGCGAGGAAGTCTCAGGCGGGAGCCCCCTTCACTATGGGGCCCGCCGCTTATGTTTTTAAGCCGAGCGGGCCATCGGAACCATATAAATGTCGCCACTTCTGGGCCCCAGAAACCTGGATATGGAGGAAGTATCCGGCGGGAGCCGCGTCTGTGAGTGAATCGCGAAAAAATGTCAGGCGGGAGCCCTATCCCTCTGGGGCCCGCCGCTCATGTTTTTAATCCGCACGGGTCATCGGAACCCTGTATGTGTCATCACTTTTGGGCACCTGAGGCCTGG